TGCAGGTGACGGATGGAGTCAAGCCTGTCAATCAAGTCACAGTCTAATAGCACTTCTTGAAGCCATATACCTTTTGAACAAGAGCGAAATGAACAGAGACGATCTTTCTCTCTGTGTGTGTGACGTCACCCTCCTCCTTGCTGGGACTCTGCTGCTGACCCTGAGCCCTGCCATGTCTCCATCGACCCTGGATCCATGTGACTCTGCACGCCCTCGCCTGCGATCCTCCTGCTCGCCACCTCACCTGTGGGCATCATCTATTTGAATCTGAAGAGGGCCTGGTTATCCACATCCATCTCTAACCTGTTTTCATGGATTCTGACTCAGGTGACTCCATGTGGCACCGAATAGTAGAATTGCTCCAAAGGGCTTTCTTGGCTAGAATTTTCAGAGAAGCAGACTGCCTAGCAGGTCCTTTTTTTCCTGGTGCTGCCGGGTGGGTTAGAACTACCAACTTTTAGGTTAGTAGTCAACAGTGCCATCCAGGGACCTGAACGATCTAGCTATCTGTCTGCCTATTCATCTGTCTGTCTACCCACTTACCTGCCTATCCATCCAAACATCCATCCATCCATCCACCCATCCATGCATGTATCCATCCATCCATCCATCCATCCATCCATCCATCCATCCATCCATCCACTCATCAACCCCTCAATCATCTATAGCTTTGCCCCTGGCTCTCTGGTCCTTTAACTGCATACTTATCCTGCAACATAAGGTACTGACTTTAGATCACAGAAGTATGCGCCTCACTCAAGGACGTTGCACCCTCTTCTGGGAAAGAGTTCGTGCCTCTTCAGGCTGGCGCATGGTAGGATGCCACTGAATGCTGTTTTCTCCCCTTTACAGTCAGGATCTCTGGGCTAAGATGACAACGGTGGGCAGGGGATATCGAAAACTAACCCACAGGATTCGGAAGCCCAACACCCAGGCCATGAACAGAGAGCATGATGAAGCCTTTGACAGAAATGGGGCAGCCTGGGTGACAGGACTTGCTATAAGCATTTTAAAAGGTTCATTCACTCAGGAGAGAACAGACACCCTCCATCAGCTGCTTAACAAGCCTCCCCTTGGCCTGTAGTGTCTGACAGGCTCTCCTTGGAATTTTAAGCACTGAATATAAAGACTCTCATGACCTGGTTGACATTGGGTCCTGTTGGGGTGGGTGAGAAAGGGGGAAGGAACAAGGTGACCCCTGAAAGTCTTTTCCGACTCTTAAGTGTTGTGACAAATCTTAAAGCTATCACCTAAGAGAACAGACTTATTGGTGGGACATGGTCCCTAATCACCCTTCAGATCGGTAACTGAACTCACCTCCACGTTAGAAGAATCAACCACTTCCGTTCGAAAGGACAGCCTTTCGAACAAAGTGCAGGACAGAGTACAGAGGGTTTGGGAAGAAGAGGATTGGAAACAGGAAGTGCAGGGAGGAAGCCGAGACATGGAGGGAATGGAGGGATACATGGAGTGACTCTGCGCACTGAGTCAGATTGTGTCTGAATTGCTGGCTGTCAAACTGTGATCTGCTTGGTAAATTGTCACCCAATTCGCAATAGAAAGGTCTTTAAAAGATCACCCAGTGGACTGAAACACAGAGAGACAACAGGCCGGCTCTGTGTTTCCAGAGATTGGCCTAATTATGGGGTCCTCATCCAATCAACTCCTATCCATGTGTCAGCGCACACTTTCAAAGCCCCAAGACTTGGCTGTGACCTCCCTGCCCATTTCACACCTCTGCACACCTCTGCCATTTCATTTGCTCAGTTTTCAACAATGGTGTTACTAATCTAAAAGCCACATATGAGACACTTCCGTCATTCAGTCACGTTTAAAAAGAGTTGCAGAGACACCATCACAAGCAGTTCTCGTGCTGCCTCCTGCATTCATTATCTACTCCCCAATTCCCCTCACCTTCCCCACGCCCCCGACAACCATGGCATCTGTCTTGTCTCTGTGCAGCCCACTTCCGCCATTTTAGAACGGTCCGTGAGATTGCTTCATGAAGGCCCGTCTCCCTCACAGAGCTGTGCGTGTGCCAGGCACACTTTTTAGTGCCTGCCTTGCTCATCTTTGAACTTCCAGCCTCTCCTGAACCACAGGTTGGTCGGGCTCCTCTCCTTTCTCTGTGTCCTGATCTCAGTCCATGGCCTCCCCACTCACTCCGGTGCTGAAGAGTCTAGATACCGTCTGCTACATCACCATCTTTATGCATTTGAACACTTTACTGTGCTTCGGGTGAAGGTGGATGGAACAAATACACTCCCGTGTAATCATTTCTACACAAATTTTTCGGGGACTGTGATGCATCAGCACTTGGCCCATCCCCACGCCAGGTTTCCTGTTTCTATTTGTCTGGTTTTCCTGACTTTTCATCTCTGCTTTAGGGACAGTGTTGCCCATTGGGTCGCCTCTCCTGGGTTGTTTTAAGGAGCACATCCCCGCCCCCCCCACCCCACCCCGCATTAGTGTTCATCTTACAGATTTGGGGAATGGCTTCAGTTCTCAGTGAGAAGTGTGTCTCTGTCAGACCAGTTGATCTGGTCTTTTTATGGTGAACTTGAATTTCGTTCTAGTTTTTCTCTCTGACCCTGCCCAGATCCTTCTGTTGTGACCCCAATCAGAGTGGTCAGCGGTAGTGGCTGGGCACCATCTAGTTCTTCTGCTCTCAGGAGAGTAGAAGCTGTGGCCCATTCTTGGACCTACCTTAGACACAGCCTGCCTGACGGGCAGAGCTTCATCGGTGTTGGCTGATGGAGACCTGTGGTCTCATGGCTCTCTGCCCTTAGAATCCAGCTCAGAACTGGCAACATTGCTGCCTCCTTTTTCTTTTTTTTTCTTTCCCCAGTGTGTCTTGGAAAAACACTGGAAGCATATTTAGAAAAATGATTCTAAACCTGCCCAACCAAAACCAAAACATTCCTTTCTCTTACAGTTCCTGTTTCCCTGAGAAACGGAATAGTCAAAAATAAACACACTGATAGTATGGCAATATTTGTCTGCAAATACGCCTTTCTTGTTCTGGCCTGTGGGTGTTTACGGAGTGGAGCTGGCTCTGGAGGTCAGCCGGACAAGCTCAGGCTCACAGCCCCAACGTGTCAGGCAACATCCCCAGCAGGACCCCGAGGAGGCTCTGGGTGATTCTAAGTGCCCATGACCACCTTAAATCCCATCAACACGAGTGCATGCAGCCGGGACGCGCCCCAGCCAAGAGCTAAATGAGAATTGCTTCAGAATCCCCGTGTGTTTCTGCAGGCGATCAATAAATCCCAAATCAATCAAACAAACTAAACCAAACTCAATGCTATCAAGGTTTTTGAGACTCAGAATGTCCTGATAGGATAAGGTAGAAATGCCCCTGTGAGTGTCTGAGGATGTACCTTTTCACAGGAGTAAAAAGCCCCATCTTTCTCCCACAGAGGTGGGATTTGAACTGTGGACCTTACAGTCAACAGCCCAACTGGTAACCACTACACCACCAGAGGGGAGTGGACACACGTCCAATTTGCTGTTACTTGGGTTCCAATGTGTGGCAACTACATGGTTGCAGAGCAGTTTCTCCTGAGCTGCTTCGAGGTGAGTTCCAACTGTCCACCTTTTGCGTAGCAGTTGAGCACCCTGTGCCATCCAGGGAAGGGAGCACATGTAGAATGTTTTCTAATTAAAGTACAGATGGATGCATGCCCACTTTTGCTTCAAGACCTCTTACTGAGATTGTGTGGAACAAGAACTGCATGCCAGGACAAAGGGAGGGGCATCATTCCCCTGGCTCAGGACACCTCTACTCATGGAGTATCAGAACGAGGGGCAGAAAGAATGCCAACTTCTGAAGATAGACTAATGGGGGGTTACATACTGTGAATGTCATATTTTATCAGAGTAGTCTGGGGCAAATATCTTAGCCTCTTGGAATTCAGTTATTTTATCTGAAATGGGGTGGAGTATTTTGACCACCGAGTGAACATTGATAGTGAACATTGGAGTTTATATGTAAAATTCATTCCACATTCTATGGGTCCTTGTCAGAATGGAAAAAAAAAAAGAAAATAAACTAGCATTCATTTAAGATCAATCTAGGAAAGGTCAAATTACCACCAGACACAGTTGTGCATATGTAAAAAAAATTCCTTTTGGTACTAGTTTAAGCATCTGCTTTGAAGTTACTTTAAAAATGATCATTAAACTGACCACAGGTTGATCTGATACTCTGTGTGTTAGTCTGGGTACTGTAGAGAAACAAATCCACAGAAACGCATG